TTATTTAGACCTGTGCTTTTCCTACAGTGACTGTGAAAATGACTTCCTTGTAAAATAAGTCCTGTTGGGTTAAACCTACTACACCAAACCAGCTATAGTTGAAAATGTCCTTTACTGTATGTGTGAGAAGGACGTGCATCCACGCTAGTGTTTTCAGGTCATTTTTGTGAAGATACTCGACCACACAAAAATATGTAAAAATACGTTTCTAAATTTCCTCCTCTTTCAGCCGAAACAATAATACTGCCTCACAGATGAGTGAGGCACGAATGAGGACCAAAATGGAGTGAAAAAGACATATTTACCATTGAGCTCACATTTTTCTAATCACAAGTAACAACTTAGCAACCTGTATCTGGTGATGAATACTGCATGAGGTTGTCAAAAGCTCTAGAACAAGCCAATAGGTGGACCATTTAGTCGACTGCTGTTTCCATGATTAAGATTGAACTGTCAAGCTGAACAGGATATTGTTTTTTTGTAATCCCACTTGTTCTCCTCTTTCACTGAAGTGTGGAATGACGTTGATTGGTCACACACCCTGTTCCAAAGGTTGGGACCCTGTTAAAAGAGTTGGCTTAAGAAAGAAAGGCAGCAAAAGAGGAGAGATGTGAGGGGAATAGAAATGAGATTGGAGACTAAATGGAGTTGACACTACACTTCCACAGCTGACCTCTGGCTTCACACATCAGCCTGGCAGACAGATACCCAGAATTAAATGCTGCTTCTGCACCGCCCAACTTTCTTTCTTTCTTTCCTCGTTTACTTCTGTCTCACACCTTAACCACTGCCACCGCTCCCTCTCTCACTTTCCCTCCCTCGCCTCATCTCACGCTCATTCATCTTCTGGCTCCTGATGGCATCCGCTCCTCCAGCATGGCTGAGTTAATTAGCTGTGAACAGTAATGGAGGCCAGAATTCATATTTATATAGCATATTTTCAAAATGCATTTTCCCGATTGGAAATATGCAAGGGCTATGTCGATTTCATATTTCACATTCCACAAATAGCAGCATGATTCACTGAATCTGAGATTGTTATATTAACTTCTTAATAGCCTGGGATGTCACAGTTCACATCCAGAATACACACACTCTAGACAGGGGAGAATTAATGCGACTATCTTCTGTCTGTGTTAATCACAGCATGTCTGGCTTCCCTGCAGCTTCGTCGGGCCCATATGGCTCGAGTTTGGGGCTTCACAGACTGCTTGATGTGCTCAGGTGTATGTGTGTGCACATGTGTGTGAAGCCACGGAGGCTTATCTGTTCAGCTTGTCATTTTTCCAGCCTCTCATCACTCTTTCTGCAGCTGCGTTTCCTGTGATTGGTTGTAGTTGGAGAGATATACAATGCGTGTGACACTCTGGGGGACAATGAATGGCTAATTACTTGAATTAATGACAGGCACACAAAAAAAATGCCTCTTTAGAGCAGACTTGTCATTAATTTATACTCCCTTTGTTGGAAAGATTTATGCTTAAAATGACCCTGCTGGCTAGGAAGAAAAAAATTAGTCTAATTTGCAATGATGGGCCTGGAAAGCTTCAGCTTTTGTTTGTGTGTGTGTGTGTGTGTACTCGCATATGTCGGTGTGTATCTTCCAGCCGATGTGAACGTTACTGTACTTCCCAAGCTGTCATCCTATATTACTTCAATGGGACTTTGAATCATCATAATGAGGCAAAACTCCAGGAAAATCAAACATCACTAAACGGCACGATGGCTGTGCTGTGTGCATAAAATCTGTGGTGATTTCTCGTGCAAATAAGGGAGTAAAATAAGACAATGGAGGTATTTTCGCCTGTTAGATCCAAGTTTATATTTATCAGTTGATTTTGCCAGTTTCCTGGGAATTTTACTCTGTTTTGTCTGCCATTTTAAAATGACAACAAAAAGCCAACATATCTCTCTTACTCCTAGTGGTATCTAGCAATGCACGTGATAATTTGCAGCTTTTTTCTACTACCATATAACATTTCTAACATAGACAATGCAACATATCCAAATAAATATCCATGGCTTATAACATACTCTTTCTTTGCCTTTATTTCTGTGCTCCTTCAGGATGATAACTGGGGGGAAACCACCACTGCAGTGACAGGCACCTCAGAGCTGAGTATATCCCAGGAGGAAGTGGTTGGACTGGGGAAGGGAATACAGGACCGGACCCAAGGCTTCCGCCGTTACCTTCCCCTGGCTGTAGGCCTGTGTGTGGGGCTGCTGGTGGTGGCCACGCCCTTGGTCTTCCTGCTTCTTCCGGTTGTGATGTGGGCTGACAGGCTGCAGGCTTGTGGCGCAGCCTGCGAGGGCCTCTTCCTCTCCATCTCCTTCAAGCTCCTCATCCTCCTGGTGGCCATTTGGGCCTTGTTTCTCCGACCGGGCCGCGCCAGCCTGCCCAGAGTGTGTGTGTACCGTGCCTTCCTCACCACACTTACACTCTTGCTCACCATGTCTTATTGGCTCTTTTACGGGGTCCGGATCCTTGATGCTCAGGTGGGTCTGAGAGTGTGCTAGAGTAAGAGAATTTTATTTTATAACAATATTTCTGTTGTCATTCATAATAATTAAAAATTTAAGAGGTCTATCGAGAGTTTAAGGGGTTATTTTAACAGTAATGAGGCTGCAGCATCAGAGTTTCTGTTTTTGCCCTAACAAATAACCTTCTTTTAATGTTCTCTCTCTCTTTATACTTTATATATTTTTCATATTAGAAATTTTATTCATGATTAGGTCATTTTATTTTGTTTAATTCTGATTTCATATTTCATGATATGTGGGTGTAGTTTGTGTGTATCTCGTATCTGCTGTCTGTCTTGACCATTATTCTCTCTGAAACAAGATTTTTAATCTTGGTGACACTGTGACACTTTCCTGGTTAAATAAAATGAACTGCTGTGACTGTTTTCATTATACCTGTGATGTGGTCTAAGCAGGACGAGGACTACCATGGTATCGTCCAGTTTGCAGTGTCCCTCGTGGACTCGCAGCTGTTTGTCCACTACCTGGCCGTGGTGCTGCTGGAGCTTCGTCACTTGCAGCCCTGCTACAGCGTGTGTGTCATGCGCTCCACTGATGGAGAGACGCGTCACTACAACATAGGACAGCTCAGGTACAAATGCTCCCTCACTGTAGTTACCTCTTCTGTGTGCTTTACATACTGTTCCTAAAACTATAGAAGATACTATAAATATATATGTTTTACAGTTTCACGTGTCAATATGACCTTTGCTTACAGAACATTGAGACACACACAGTGGCACTTGGTCAAGGTCATTACACTCTATCATGTTGAAGTATGTGTGTAATAAATATCCACAGGGAAGACTGGCACAGGCAGTAATTGAGTTACTCATCAGCCTCTTCGTCTAGTTTGCTCAAGGCAAGCTATTCTAGGAGTCGGGGGGGAGGGATGAGAAAGTGCCGGACACAGGCGCACGCCCTGTGGCTGTCTTACTTTGTTTCTGTTCTGACCGAGTGTGTGACTGCGACAGGACAGGAGACAACAGTGGTAATTAGATAAGGTTTGCGAGACAAGACTAAAGCTCATGGAGTGTTTTAGAATGAATTTCCAGAATGGTAAACAGGAAGTTAAGGCCTGTAGAGGAGGCACAAACACACAAACCACACACATAGCGTTATTAGCCTCCAATAACTTAAAATAAAATGATTTTACACATCAAAGTCTGTTTACTGCATATTTGAAGCCTTTCGTGGCTTCAAAGGGAGCTGCTTGAAACCTGACAAATGAACCCAAGTGATGTCACTTGAGTCAGCGTCAGTTGAAGACTACAAGTCTGATAATGAAAAAAAATCTGGAGTTAGAAAGAAGTGAGTTTACTGGACCTCCATAGTCTCTGCTTGAGGCTAGCAACTCAATGATACATTAGGCATTTCTAATTACACACCCAAATCTCCGACCGAATTGTCAGTGTTCAAGTTGCATTGTGGGCAATACATCCACAATGTATGGTATGAAAAAAGGCAGTATCTCTGGTTCTCCTGCGGTGATTTTGATGTAATGTTTTGACTGTCTGACAATGATTTTGGAGTGCAATGCTAAATTGGTGCAGTGCTCTTTTAATTGTTTAATTCAAACATTTTAATTACACGTTGATCTTTATCAGGCAAGGAAAAAATACAACAAAATGTATAGTTAGTCTAAAAACTCTGTTTACTATTCAGAGGATGCAAGTGCATTATTCAGTGTCTTATGTAAATCAGCCATAATGTAAATCGTATTCCTACTGTTTCTGAGTTTTCTCTCTGAATTTCTCTTTCATCTCACACAGCATTCAGAAGGCTGCTCTGTCCATTTTGGAGTATTACTACAGAGATTTTCCACTCCATAACCCAGCACTTCTGTCCGCCTCGAAGCACCGGGCTGCCAAACACCTGGCCGGGTTAAAGGTCTACAACGTAGACGGTTAGTTGCCTCATGTGTCCCAATAATTACCTCCTATATTGTGTAACATTTGACTTGTTGTCCCCTTTCTTGTTACATATGCTGGTTCAGCAGGTTTTCCTCTCCTTCTGCTCTCTTGTTGTGATGTTTCCTTTTCCATCTTCATCTCTTCCATGAGCAGCTTTTAAAAACAAACTGAGAACATACCTTTTGGACAGTAAGTACAGATAAAAATCCTCAACGTCCCTTTACACAGCACTTTATCACAGGAAGCTGCTAATTTCACGGTTCAGTTCACTCCACCTTCAGTGCACTCTGAAGCCTCCGTCCCTGACATAATGTATACACTGCATCAAGCACACACACACTCAGACACACACACTCAGACACACACGTACTCCCACTGATTGTATTGCCTCCCTGCTTTGTATTGCCTCCACATATCCTGTAATGCCTCATATGGCTCTCTTTCTAAAAGGCTCTTTCACTCACCACCCATTAATCCTCCATTCACTGCACAACACTGTAGATATGATGATCTATGACTGGGGTGCGGTATGGGATATGGTGTCCTCATAGCTGGTCCCATCGACCCCACCCCCCTTCCCTATCAAAGTGCAGCAGAGAGGCCTCTAGAGGGCCGTGGAATTTCAAGCCTTAAATAATTCATCAGAGTAACGCTCATTCCTCACATACTCCCACATCTCTCCTTCCTCCCACTCAGCCTGTCTCCAGCTTTGCTCGCTCCGACTTTCTTTTTTTTTTCTTTCTTTATTTCATTTTTTGCTTGCTTCAATCTCTACCCACCCCAACGCACCACCACCCCACTCTCTCTCTCATTCACAGGCGCTCATCTCATTGCATGAATATGTAGGCCAGGAAGTTGAAGAGGCTGGTGTTTACCCATATTTTACACTGAAAATATTTAGAATGCTCCCCGTGCAAATGATCTGACTGCATTCTTTCCACAGTATACACTAGGAGGGTTTTTTTTATCCATGTTTTATTACTATATACAATGTGTCTTTGTCACCTGCACAAAAAACATGCATTAACACACATATGCAGATCAGATTATTAATGATTTATATCCTTACCTGACCTGCAGCATTTACTCTCTATAGCCTCCCCCAATCTGATGATCTTCATGAATATGTACCGTATCTGACTCCCCCCCCCCCCCCNNCCCCCCATAAAACCCCAGGAACTCTAATATATTGCTGTACAAGCTCCATTAGCTTTATGGGTTTGTCACACAAACCAGTAAATTCACACATCAGACAAGAACTGTGGCCTTTGAAGTGTAAAATGATGCATATTTAATCCACACCCCAATAAAAAGGTTTTTGCATCTGACTTTCTGTGGAGTGTGTGGATGCTTCCAGTGGAAATTGCCTCTTTTCTCATTGCTATAATTAACATTCTCTGTGACTGAGACACATTATCTGGCAGGATGCCCCAGATAAGTAACAAAGATTAACATACACTCAACTCCTACTTAAAAGTGAAAGACATGTAAAATGGATATAATTCTGACAAGGTTGATTTACACCTCTTCCTGTGATGTGTAAGATCTCAGTTCTTTCCAACTGACCTCTTCTGTCCAAGATTTAAAATTGAGATCCAGCCCATTAATCAGAACCTGGTGGGGTCAGGGGCTGCTACTTCCAGCTCACGCTGATATGAACAATTTGCCTCTGTCCTCTCCTTGCGGTTCAGCCCCGGGAAGCACAGCAGGAGCGCAGCCTGGTAATGGGAATCAGTCACGGGCCATGGTTACAGCTGCCGGCAAACGCAAAGACACTGCCCACAGTGAGCTATACTATGAAGAGGCTGACTACGAGAGAAGGGTCCGTAAACGTAGAGCCAGGTGAGTCACAGGAACAAATAACAGCATGTCAGTGGGCATCTTGCTGATTTAAAGAATCTGAAAAACAATCACTTTAACAGATGATATTATGTACAATATTATGTATTCCATGTCTGAAAAGTGACAGAAGAGTGTTGCCTAATGACTGGTATGGATTAAATACATAGAGCTGATAGTAAGCTAACTGCTGTGTGTGTTCCTTCTTTGTCAGGCTGGTAGTGGCTGTGGAGGAGGCCTTCACACATGTCCGGCGGATGAAGAAAGAGGATGAGCGTGCAACACCGTCTGACATTATGGATGTACGTGAAGCAGCTCTGGCTATATTTCCCTCTATGGCCCGTGCCCTGCAGAAGTACCTCCGCACCACCAGGAGGCAGCACTGCCACAGCATGGAGAGCATCCAGAAGCACCTCGCTTTCTGCCTCATCAATAACATGAGCCCTAAGGTAAGTTTGGTCATTGTCTCTATCAGATAAGATCAATAATGGATTACATTTATGTATGTATGTATGCAGATGGAGAGAGCCAGGTTACAGAGGAACCCGCTACTCTTTGTGATAAGTGCCATGGTTTCTTTAATGACTACAGTGAGTCAGGACCACAGTTTAATGTTTCATCCAATGGACATACAGTACCTTCATCACTGCACTTTGGCTTTACGGCTTTTCTTAGGACCAGAGGATAGACTGCCCCTACTGGGCGACCAATACCATTTCCAACAGCAATATTGTTTTCCCATGAGGTCTCCCATTCAGGCACTAACCAAGCCCACTTCTGCTTAGCTTCAGTTATTCATCAGAAACAAGGCATACGTTGGTATGACTGCTACAACGTTGACAACAACATTGTACTCAACAGTTTAAATGCTGAGATCTGGGAACACGATGATATTGCTGCAACAAACAAAAGTTTTGACAGTCAAACAGGTTATATACGAGCCAACAGTTTAGCCTGGATATCCAAACAACTTTTGGATTGTAGCGCTCCAAGTACACACACAAAAAAATCTAATGCCGATATCAGCCTTCATAGATGGTTGTCACTTTAGCAAAGGATGCAGGTCACACAGAGGAACCTGCGAGGACACCAGTCTTGAGTTGTATCTAAACCAAAAGTCAGAGCACTGAAATGCCCCTTATAATAACCAATGAAATATAGATAATTATATAATATAGAAATATTATTGTTTTACTGCTTGTGTTTCTTCACAGAAAGAAGGAGAGCCAATAAAGGCAAAACATTTTGATAAGATAATACAAAAGGCTTGGATCTGCAGCAATTCTGGCTTGCAATACATTTGAACCTTGGCACTCTCCCACAGGCAGCATGAGACAACTTGTGTTTCTGGCCTCGTTCTACTGTTTGTAGTGATGTTGCTATATTCCCAGATGTCAAAAATTAATTTAGTAGGAATTGCAATTAGGAATAGTGGCCAAAGCTATTCAAATGAGACCCACTCAGGCTGTAATGAACAAAATATTCTTTAAACCATCTAATAGGTTTAAAATAAATTTTAAAAGTATTTTCTTGGTGAACATTGTCCTGTCGTTGGCTGTTTCTCTGTCCAGGCCTTCCTTGAAGCCTACCTGGCCCCTGGTCCGACCCTGCAATACGGCCCTGAGCGCTGGATGGCTGACCAGTGGACTTTGGTAAGCGAGGCTTCTGTCACCGGCGGCATAAAGGAGGGGACAGAGTTCCTGCTGAGGTGTCTTGACTTTAGCTTAGCTGTGACCGTCAAGAGCATCCCTTACATCCGACTGACTGAGGAGTTCATCGACCCCAAGTCTCACAAGTTTTTACTGCTGCTCCAATCAGAAACCTCAGTTTAACATTGACATAGCGGGCCACTGCTGCTGATCTGGACTCACAGGACACAGTTACATTTATCCGATTTTTCAAAAATAGCTTTTTGTACTGTTTTTTGTACTTATGTTTGTGTAATTTACTCACGTAGAGTATCTTTGTGTCCTTGTCTTTGTCCCGGGCGACATGGAAGATGATAAAAGACAGAAAGCGTGAGGGAATATGCTTGGCTTTCTCTGTCCTGACATTTGCAGAACACAGTTCAGGTATTCCTCTATGCACGACTGATGACCTTCACACATTTTCTTCTTCCTGTATTTGCATGTGCCAGTGTGTGCCTGCGTGGGAGAGTTTATCGTTTAGGAGGAGTGTGTTATCTAGGATGCGAAAGTGTGTGAGTATGTGTGTGTTTTGAGTGTAGTGTACACCCGGAATCTGTCTCGACCTGTCTCTTCTTTCTCCTTAGCGATACTAATGACCAGGACATTTGATATAACCCAAACCCTTTTCACCAAAACTGCTCTTTCCAGTCTTAGCAATGATTATTTAACTGTCCTGTATTACAGATGTATGTACAGTATTTATATGTGAATATACTTTATCCCTTTACTTACCTTTACCTGTACTTTTTATATCAAAATTGTGCATTGCTTGAATAATTTTTTTTACCTTGTCTGTCTGCGCTGTATTTGTGGAGATAACTGGACTGTAAATAGATGCAGACATGTTTGTAAATGTCAGACAAATCACTGGAGTCTCTCTGACTGAATGCCAACCACAGTACAGCTGAATATAGATGGTCTAGTCAATAGATTGTGAATAAACACATGTGGCTGCTCATTATGTTCGCATTTGTAGTTAAGTGTGTGCAGTGTACACAGATCTTTTTGTAGACTAGCAGAGGGACAAAATGTTTGGACGGCTATGAGGTTCATGTGGTTAAACGTTTTATATCTCTCTTAAAAGCCTTTTGCTGTTTAATTTCAAAACATACGGCCCTGATTTTCATCAGAATTCATCACAAAGGGGGTGTATTATTACAGCTTTTCTCTGCATAATTGAAATCAGTCAGCCAAGTGAATTATACCCCCACCATAAGCATAAGAAAATAACCTAAAGGAATATTTATTTCAGCATTTCCAAAAGATTTAGGACATTCTCTCCAAATCCCTCTCTAATAGTCACTTATCTCATGCTGGAAAATGTTTAAACAAGTGTTGTAAATCAATAATTTAGTGTAAATTAGCTCAACCCAGTGTCAGTATTTCTGCTGTCAGTATTTTGTCTCAGTGTCACACTACTGCCACCTATCTACGGCTACTGGAACAGGAACTGAACTGAACTTCAATCAAACTGTTAATTTGTTTGAATATTTGATCTGTATTTTTAAAAAAACCATTGTATTTATGAGGCCTGTTATGTCGTAAATTTATATTTAAACAAGTGTTACCGTGGTCACTGACAGTGTAGTTTTGTTTAGGCTTTTAGAGTGTTGGTGGTTGTAAATAGTTCTGGACTACACATGTGCCTCAGTTATACATATTTAGGATGTGCTCAGTATACATGTGCAGTTTTCAACCGTGTGTGTGTTTGTGTGTGT